TGTTCACATATACTTAATGTACTTATCTCGTTCGTTTGAGCATCTGTGAAAAGCCGTTTGTTGCTGAAACACTTCTCATACGCAGCCCAAAAGAAATCAACAAAATATAAACCATAAAAATTAATAAATTTTTCGGTATTATTTTATTACGCACCAGAGACAACAACAACAACCACAACAACAACAACAAAAACGACACACCATAAAGACAATGAATTGAACCGAAAAACAAAACTCAGTAGAGTTCATGGCGATGGCAGTTGTCAGTGGTGGTCCATTCAAAGCTGGGCTCGGATCGGGATCGGGGCTTTGCTTTGGTTTCTTGGACTGGTGACTGGTTACTGGTGATCGGAGTGCGTTGGGTCGGCTTGGGTTGGGTTGAATCGCTGCTGCTGTTCAATCCATCAAAAGAGATTATTTTCATTAACTAGGCAAGCGAATGGCAACAAGACTGGGACGACTGGGACGACTGGGACGACTGTTGATGATGGCCACTGTACTGCTGGAATTTCTTTATTTTTTTGACAGTTCTCAACAAAATGTGTTGAAATTGCTATTATTGTCTGGGAATTGTGTATTGGGAATTTTACAAGAATCATCCAACAGCTTGACGCAGCCATGACAAGACACAATTGCCAGTATTTTAGACGAAAGATCTGTGGACTCCATTAAAATGCCGTTTTTATTTCTGACAATTAGACGCCATCAAAAATTAATGTGTGCCCTCTGTAATTCGCTCGGAATCTGCCAGGCATCTGTTCGAAAAGTCATCGCCTAGCAGCGCCCATCACACTTGGCATTCAAAATATGAAAGTCTTAGGCAGAATACTCGTACAAGCGTGTTAACCTTGTAGTCTGGTCCACACTACTACTCGCATGTAAAGCCAAATTGGTGGCATCCACCATCCTCTATTTTATATAGATATTGAATACGGATTCTCGCAGCTGTCGGATATGCCGGGGCAATTAGTTTATTTTCGCTTTGACATGTTTACAAGAGCCAACAAACAATTGGCCCAGTCGACTCGCCGAGTCCAATAATTACGGCTCTTTGGGCGCACAGCTGGTTTCTCTCTGTTAGGGAACCAAATGCGTAAAAAACAATCTTCAGCCTCAGCCATAAACGATTTGTAAATACAATGGATAGGGCAAAGTTCTTTACAGTTTCCGGGAGACAAGAGGGCTTTTGAATTGTACCTACCACAAAGGAGGAAATCTGTCTGTATACGAATAATGTTTTATTAATAGGAGACACAAACTCAAATTTGATTGCTTCGTGACAATCACGACAATGTGTGTGGAATTTTCGCCTTAAATTTAATTGTACGGCGTTTAGTACAAAAAAGGAGCGAACGGCATGGCAAGTCAGACTCTTCATGCAAATTTGGCGCATCGCTTTGGATTAATGGAGGAACCACTTCAGCTCTATTTTGTATATCTGTCGATTCGTCTCGGCCATCCAATTTGGTAGCTGGTGGGCTCCGCAAGTGGGCTAACCAGTGCAGTCGAAGGCTTTCGATTTATTGTGGCAGCTTGTAGAGGGCAGCAAATAAGGCCATTTATACGCATAAATTAATATTTATGATTTGAATTACTCAGTTTTGCCCGCTGCCCAAGTGTATTCTATTTGGCTGGCCTAACGAGATCCACTCGAGGTTGATGTACTTGAAAAGCAGCGAATGTACACACATTCGAACCCATACTCTTGGTGGGTAAGCAGACCCACATAGCCACAGACAATGTTTTCTTAGTGGCTCAACCCACCGTCGTAGTTTCAGCAAAGTGACTAAACAGTTGGGGCAGTCCTAATCGAAAGGTGTGCCACACACTGTATGTGCATTGCTCTTTTCAACGCACATCTGCTCAGAGTCAGAGCCAAGCTTCCCCCACGATCATATCGTTAAATCGTCAGATCGTCAGATCGATACACACCAGGGGCCATAAGTTGCGAAATCAATGGCTTGTACTATCCATACAAATGTACCGTACCGGGTATTGCCTGACAATTGTTTGTCGATTTGCATTGTCCCTCCTTATTTTACGGCGTTAACCGGCATTAACCGCGCGTATTTATGACCCCCAATCGGAGCCACCACCACACGTTCTTATTCTAATTTGCTAGAGGTCTGCCATCAATCTGCTGGCTTAGCAGGGACAGATCGATTGCCGATTCAATTGTCACGCTCGAGCATGACAAATTGAACAAGAGTTCATTTGTGGAGGAGGGACACGGGGACACACACCAAAAGGCATCTACTACTGCATGTATGAGCCAAAATGTCTTTTCACTTGTGGTCCAAACAAGTTTCTTTTGGATAACTTTAATTCTGGCGCCCAGAGCATACAGTTTGACCCAATTTCCTTGACGCATGCCTGGCAGGTTTACAAACAAAAACTGTTACGGTTAACAATAATTAATTCTGTTTCTTGGCGGTTCGGCGGGGCGTTGGCAGCTCTCATTATTTGCTGGCCGACTGTCTCTTTCCTCCCAATTGCCGATTTCATTAGGCCATAATTGAGTTTGGTTGTCAGTTTGTCAGTGAGCCCATAAACACGAACCAGGCGCCCTGGGGCCAAAACCTGGACAAACCCGACCATACCCACAGTTCTTTGACGTGAAAGAGCAACGCCAGCTTGCGGCCACATTCATTGAGAATTGCGGATGGCGAATGGTGGACTGGAAGTGGGATCTGAAGCCACACCAGAGACTGAGAACCCAAGCGACAGAGTTCCCACGCCTCAAATTGTTCACGCACGCCTCAATATTCGAAGTATCATCGAGCCGCACAGCTGCGATTTGTACGAGTATCAGCCTTAGATTTTCGCCTTCTATCACTACTCTGGGTGTATCTACTACTCTGGCGGCCAGCAGGCTCTAATTTATGGATTCCATAATATTTATGAAGCACAGATGCGTTGGCGAGTGGGCATCGGGCCGGCCAATATCATAATCAAAATCATAATCATAATAAACACATCCAAACGGCGAGGCGGACAGCACGTGTGTGCCTCTGTTTTGGGCCGACTTTTGCTTTGGTAATGACCCAAATTTCATTGCTGTGCGCTAAATACGCCTAATGGTCGTTTAATTATTGTATGACAGACAGCGACAGCCGTTGCCGCACCAGCCGCAACATAAATACAACTAATTGTACAATAACAAGGCAAGGAGCCATACATATATTTATACAAGTATATCCATACATATCAGCCGATACAGCAGCTAAACAAACTCATTGAAATGTTTATGCTGCAAATCATGTACAATTTTTGTGCACCATTATCGCCAGCGCCATCTAACGGCAGCTAACGGCACTCGGGCCATTCGGGCCATTCGGGCCATTCGGGCCATTCGGGACGTATCGGAGCGGATCGGAGCGGATCGGTTGACAAATTTCGGGCCTGCTGCCGGCTGACTTCAACAACGGCTGAAGTTGTGTTGTTGCCGATGCTGTCGGCAAACATAGTAATTTGTTTATATTGTTTAGCAATTGACACGGCTGCTTTACTGCCGCCTTTACCTGCCTCCAAATTTGTGGCAATTGTCTGGAGTGCTAAAATTAATAAGAGTGCTTAGGGTTTTGCAGAGTGTTTTATGTGATTTTTGACACTTTTCGACGCGCTATCTTTACGGGGCTATGCCTGAAGGCAATGGGCTTTGTCCAGAGCAACGCAAACGAATTGTGCCCATGGAAACCGAACGGCAGCAACTGTTTTGTATATACAGTGTGAGTAGTACGAGTAGTACGATCGGGTAGTTGGAAGGAAGATGCTAATGCCACCACCCATATATTTTAATCTACAATTGATTTCCCATTCCCCTTGCCTCTGCCCGGGTATTTATAGCAAAAGGCTATTTGGCAGCCGGAGATTGGAATGGGCTGGGGATGGGGATGCTCATGTTTCGAATTGCGTAAATAGAATTTCATGTTTCATTTATATGTGCATTTTATATAAAATTTAAATGTGGAAGCACTCACACTGCCCCGGCCCCGGCCCCGGGCCCGGCCCCACACCAGTACACCAAAATAATTCTCATCAGCATATGGGTAAGTGCACTTGCGTAAATAATAAATAAAAAACAGTCCAAGATCAGACTTGGACCGTAATCGTGCATGCTAAATGTACAAATGTTGAAAACAGGCCAGCCATCCAGCGAGGCAATTAATCAATAATTCTTCTTGTACAACAATATATTCTATGGTGGAGAGCCCGAAAGAGTTGCGAAATTTTCGGAATATATTCCAAATTATTCTTATCAAAATAAGAGTGTCATGGGACCAGACCAAAAATAGAAATATAAAAAGGTTTTCATTAATTTGTTGCTAATGTCATAAAACTAAACAAAAAGTGTGTTTGTCTTGGAAACAGCTGAGCCAGGCCCCAAAGTGCCGGCAAACGTGCCGCCTCTCAGGGAGACGCTCGGAGAGCAGTTCCAGCGAATAGATAAGGAGGCCTACAGCATGGCTGGCAGTACGAGTACGAGGAGTACCGTGCTTGTTGCTATCAGCATTAATTAGCGTAGCTTCACAGATCGTTTGCAGATCAGATCGATTCTACAGCCCAGGTCTCTTATGTACATACATACATATGTACATACATATATGCATATGCATATGCATATGCATACATATGTACGTGTTCAGACACCGTGTAAGCAGAAGTCTGTTTATTTTCGTGCTAAACATTTGGGTAAACATCAACTCTGCCGTGACGTGCAGTTTTGTCAATGCAAATTAACATCTATCTATCATCTGACAGCTGATCGGGTGTAGGCTCAGTCGGTGCTGGGTTCGGGTAGGGCTCTGCAGAACTTTTGCTGGTTTTGCTGTAGATGGGCCCTAGGTCTGGGCAAGATAAATAGCGCTACGGCGACGCGTGTGAGAACTTCATAAACCCATAAGTACCCGCTGCTTGGGTTTATTTTGAGTGCACCAAGTAAAATATATTAATATAAATTGATCTGCATGGACACACGTATATTTTCCTGTTACAGAGCTCTCCACCCGCACAACAGCTCAGCCGGAGCAGCCCTGCTGATTACTGGGTATTTCAAATCGGATACAAAATTCGAAGGCGGAAATATATTTGACCGAGGCGAGGAGAGAAATGTAAATAAATAATAAATAAAACAGGTCGATTTATTAATGACTTTAAATTGATTTTGTATGCAAATGTGTGTCTGTTTTGTTTCTAGTTGCCGCTCAGTTGTCGAAACCGTTAACCAAATGCCCCGCAGCTAAGATACGCGCAGAGATATTCGATTTCACCACGAACCGGAGGGCGTGTGGCCATAATGCGATTAAATGTTATATTTTTAGATGTCAGGTATGCGAGTTTGTATGTATCTTGTGCTTCCCAGAAGAACGGAGCTTAGATGCTGCCTTTTTGCTGCCGTTTCTGCTGAATTTCGAAAGCTTTGGATGGACCAGATCCAGTGGCAGGACCACTGACCGTATGCTTGATGTGCAATCGAAACGGCATCAATTGTCTCATAAATCATGCCACCCGTATGTATAAATTACACCCCGCATAGATCGCAGCCGAACAACCGCAATGCCTCGTCTAATTCCTGGGAATCGAAACAAAGGCGCAACAGCAAAAATCCCCATTCCGAATTCGATCCTAAGCGGCAAGCTGCGCTCCTTGAAATATTAATAAAAGTAAAGAAAACAGAAATAAGAACAACAACAAAACCATGCCATTAAGGAACCTTCCTTTTTATTTGTATTCAGATTTCAAACTGCGTTCGGCTTATGGAACTGCTGCACCGCACCCATTCGACTTCGATGATAAAGTGATGATGCCCCAAGGTTCCAAAATTGCTTTCAAATAGAGTCCGAGCCCCGGAGCCACTTTGACTTCTGAATTCAGGCAAAAGAGTTTAGCATATGAATAAAGACGCACCGCCCCAATGATTCGTCTCGATCCCCCCCAATTTAAATGCAAAGCGACAATGTGTGATGATAATGCCTCGATGATCCAGCATTTGCCATGAGGGGGGGAAGGCCATGGGGATGAGAGTGATGATGCCACCATCATTCGGCAGGGCAAAATAATTAAACGAGTATCGTAAAACTGAAATATAATGGATTTATGTAAAGTTATGTTACACGCTCTGGCTGGAAATGGACACAAATGCGATAAGCCGGCTCACAACAAATGGCAGCAAATAAATAAAAAATCATTAAGAGCTTCGGTTCGGTGTCCTATTATGGATGGATCCACAGACTAAATACCGAATAAAGCATTGAGATAGGCCCAAACAGAATCGAGTGGAAACGAAAACCAGCTTAGGGGCGGTTCTGGCTTTTGATGTAAGCCCACAAATCAGTTAAACAAATTTGTATTTACCAAAAAAAATACAAAATCATTTGCCGCAAAATTCATTCACGACCTGCGATCGGACAAGACACAAAAGACACAACCGAATGTGAAGAAAAATTGGAGATATAATTATTAAAGGTGTTTTCGCCTTGAGTGGCTGCGCCTGGCAGCCGGGGATGGACATTGGTCACCAATTATGCTAATACCTTGCTGAAAATGTCTGCCTAAAATCCATATTTAAATTATTAACACAGAAACCGCAGCTAAGCGAATTCCCCATTCGGTTTCAGAAACCAACTGCTAGCCAGATTGAACATGTTCAACATTAATCTTGACTGATAAATTAAAAAAGAATTAATTAAAATGAGCAATCACTTCGGGCCGTGTCGGTTCTGGCTAGCTTTGATGATATTTGCTCATACTCTACGAAAATTAATACTTTCTTATAATATATATAGATAAAATATGTAAAATCAAAAGGTATTTTTACCCTTCTTCTAACATAGTTTATTGTCAATGTGTAATTTCTTCAAGCGGACAATTGGGTAAGAGAGTATCTGAACTTCGTCTGCTTTCTGTAGTTTGTTTTGTTCAGTTCAAGTTGTTTTCTTCTGTTTTAGAAATATTTGTTCCCCATTTTGACAGTTTTCTTAAGCTAGAAAATGAGTAGTTGAGACTTTGTTCTTTTGCAGCACGTGGGTGGCTCGCGTCGGGGCAGGGAGGGGCGGGCCTTCAGAGAATTGTCTTGCATGCAGATCACGTAAATATATTTTGCCGAAAAAAATAAATAAATTCAAATCAAAATGACAAAAAAATAACCAAATGTGAGAGACGCAGCAGTACAACACCCTAAAGTCACGCCCCGGCATCACACTTCCATTAATTTTGGTTTATTTTTGGCATTTTTTACTTGAAATTATATTGCGGCTTTTGTTATTGTTACAGACAAGAGTTATGTATTTGTCACCCCTCTGCCCGAAAGGGCTGTGCGGCCGCGCCCTCCGCATTTGCATACAAATGGGCATACGAAAATCCTATTGTATCGCAAAGTAAGCTACCCATCTCGATGGAGCGGAGAGACGACCAGAATATTTCACGATCATTACACAGCAATCCGAATTTTGCCAGGGTACATCAACTACATACATATATCGGGAGGAGAACAGAATCCACCGCGAATCGGACAACACCCACATATGGAATGGACTTGGAGTTTTCGGTTCGGATCGGTTGGGCCACAGACAAATGTTCAATTTCAGACTTGTCTTGTGTACATTTCGTTTTCTTTTCATTTCTTCGTCTCTTTTGTAATGTCAATGAACGCTAAAAATTTTCTTCATTTTTATTTAAAGTAGACGAAATAAATTGAAGACAAAATGAATAACGAGAAAACAAGGGGACAGAGAAACACGCGCAAAGCGACGACGGACGCCTCAAAGTATAAAAAAAAATATACAAAAAACCAACAAAAAAAAAAAAAGAAAACAAGAAAATATTATTCAAATTCTACATATTGTGCACATTATTTCATTGTTGAAATACAAATCGGACAGCGCTCCCATAGAAGCCCCTAATACCATACAGCCCTACAATACTTACAAGCAAGTATCCCAAAGACGCAGAGCGCCACATAAAAAATGAGAAAATCTATTTTCAACACAAAAAAAAACAAAACGAAATGCAAACAATATATTATTGTCTCTATTTTTCATAGATGTAGTACGAGCATACTTGACTAGACAGTCTATCGGCAGCTGTCAGCAGTCCCATCCGAGTCTATCCCGTATCCCAGGGGTGGGTTACGTTTCAATCGTTATCAGTTCGGGGCGAGCTTACAGCCGACTTAGCCTGACTCCTCTCGCCGACCCACCTCCTAAAACGCAACCAACATTATTTATTCATGAACTTCGCGTTCCGTGCATTTGTTCGTGTTGTTTTCGATATTTTACATTGTACACCGCTCCAAGCGAACGTTGATAAAATTCTAATGAACGGGCTTGTAAGCCATAGTAATTGTGTGGTACTCGTTTTTGTTATTGTCACGTTTCGTCCAGCCACTTTTCACACCTTGTTGGGATTACTAAATCTTAATTATCTGCACTCTACACACACATGTCGTGTTGCTTTTGCAATTGTGCATTGTTGTTTCCCGAAAGTCTCGACTGCATTTGCAGTCATTTGCATAGTGTCACAGCCTGCTGCCTGAAAGATTGACTGACGGGTGTGAGCTTGGGTCCATACACCATACATACATACACCATATAATTACGACACAACTTTTATTCTCGTAGCAGAGATAGCCGCGAGACAACATTGTATCCTAATTTTATAATTTTTATCACTCTTCAACCTACTGTTGGATCTGCTAAGATTCTAATCTTTATCGCATGTTGCAGAACATCTGATAAATTCGGCGAACAGGGTTTTTGGGAATATGATAAGCGTAGCGTTCCGGAAACACATGTCCAGAAATCAGCAGTGGAGCTCTTGACGCAAGTGAAAATCATTCTAGCTAATGACTCAGTGGCAGCTCATTCAGCCCCAATTCTTGCCTAATTGTTTTCAAAAGAAGCTCCCATCTTCACTTGGAAAAGAAAAAACATTTGAAGAAGAAAGACTGACCGACCGGCTGCAGTGTTCCGACAACCACTGTCCGGTGTGGTCACAGAATATAAAACCCAACTATTTGCCACTGGCAATGTTTGTTTGTTGCGATGCCGTTTATGTTGCTAATTTCCTCTCCTTCTTTTTGGTTTTGCTTCTTTTTTAGATTTTGTTGCCGGGTGTGCAGTGGAGCGTGTGTATTCAAATGCGATGGCCCCACCGCAGCGACGACGCTTTCTTTGTGCCTCTTCGGTATTTAATCAAAATCGAAAAAGAGAGGAGAAAAAAACACACACACCGCGGAATACAAAAAACGAGACGAGCACACCAAAATAGCGACAAATCAACCGAAAATTATAAAAGAAAAGAAAGAACTCGACAAATCGATGTGGAATCAATGCAATAAATTAACTTGAATTTGGTTTTCGCTTTGCCAGCCGATTTCGATAAAGAAAAATAAAAATAAATAAAATAAAATAAAATAAAGGGAGGGAAAAACAAAAGAAGAAATAAGTGAAATATCGTAAAACAAAAGGCCCAGAGTCAACGGTGGAATCCCATTCCGAATCCGAGCTCCACATCACGCCATGAAATATGAGCAGAATTTGGCCAGGTTGCCGTGGCAAAAACAAAATAAAAAACCCTTTACCTGTCTGTCCACCAGCGGCCGCTTGTAAATGAAATCCTTCTTTGGCGAGTAGAGCTCCGGCGGTATGCCTTTGAAGGAGTACCGCAGACCGGCATCGTCAAGGTCGTTCGCTGGTGGAGTCCCCCGCAGACAGCTCTCGACATCAACCGCGTCTTCGTACTGCTCCTCCGGACACGTCTCCGCCTCCAACTCCGTCTCGCAGATCGTAGTGCTGCTCGTCTGGTTGCTGCGGCCCGATGTCGTCGATCGCAGAGTGGCGCTCCCACAGTCATGAGCATAGTCGTTACAGATCGTGTCCAGGGCGCCTGCGCCCCCGCTCCCATCGCCGTTTATCAGCTGATGGGACTCGGCCGCCGTGCATCGCTCCGGCTCTGTCTCTCGTTGCCTTGCACTTGGCATCGGCATGGTGAGTGGATGCGGAAGAGTCAGTAGATATCGATCGGTGGCAGCACGTGCAAAAATGCGCGCGAAATCTGTCTCAGGTTCGTTGCCACGCACGTTATGTTTGTGTGTGTGTGTGTGTGTGTGTGTGGGTATGGTATATACTATATACTTTGTGTATATGTATGTTGGCTTGGGGCTTTGCTTATTTTGCTAATTGAATTGCGACAGTTCCGTTCCGTTCCAGACCGTTAACGTCGTCGTCGACGCCGCACGCGCACTCACGCACCCGCCTCTTGGGCGAAGATCAACATTGAGCTAGCTGGTAGTTGTTCGTATAAAGAAGATTTAGACAAGGCACATGAGCATGGTGGCAGTAAGGCAGTGATTAGCTTAGATAAAACGTATATGAAGATATATTATGTGGTCGTGGTGTACGCGCTTGTACTATCGTCTGCATTGTCGCCTTCGTCTGAATCTTTTATGCCGAATCGCGAGAATCTCCAATGTTATTTCACATATCATCTTCTGCTTTATGCACAATGTAGAAGTATTTATATACACACTATAGATGCAGATGCATTCACTAAGTTGAGTCGGAGTTTTTTAGCTGCGTTCCGGTGAAGGTTGTTAAGTCAAAGTTAACAAGACCACGCCGAGACACACACCCATCCGCACATAGCGATGGCATTATCGTCGCGCTGTGCGGGAACCCGAGCCGAGCATTCTTGGAGCATTGTTGTCAGGAACTGTCATAATCGGAACTGGAGTCGGAATCGGAATCGGAATCGAGATATATAAACACACAAATAAATGCCAAATGGACAATACGCTGGCCGCACGCGCAAAAATAAACAGACGCAACCCGAAGACAAAATTTTAAAACCAGACAAAAGTGTTTCTAGCGTTTTCGTTTCGGCTCGCTCGAGTTCACGCTCCGGACTGCCGCTGCTTCTGGCCGATCAGTGCAGTAGACAGCGACAACTCTTCGCAGTCGGACGGCCGCCGAGATCAGCAGTACGCTTGGAACGGATCGCTGCCAACAAGCACACACACACACACACACATACACACGACTCAACAGCAGAAGCAGAAGCAGAAGCAGCAACAGCGGGAGTACGAGCATTAAGAGTACAAGGTGCTCTCTCATCCGCTGATATGGATGGAATATATATGTAGCTCGGGACTGTTGGGACTTTTGTAAAACGTGCCATGTGCCCAGGATGATTGTCCAAGCCCTGGGCATTGCTGAAGTGCCAGCCAGAACACGTTGTCCCGAATACACCAAACTTAAACCCGAGCCGAGCCGAACCGAGTCGGGCTTAACCAGTGACAGAGAGAGCAAGAGCGAGAGAGAGAGAGAGACTCACGCCGTGCGGGGCTTAAAAGAGCGCCAAAAACTACATAAGTAAGAGAGCTTAACGTAGGTAGCCGAAATCTTTGCACACATTTAGCCGATTCTTTGCGCACATGTAGGCAAATGTACATACCGTACATACATATATACATACGGAGAGCTAACAAAGTTCTATAACCTCTACGGCAAATGACTTTCCCTTTTGAAAGTCTTATCTCTGTGTACATATTAAGATAAACGCAGATATCATAAGGTTAAGCTCACCTAGTAACGGAAGAGATGTGATCTATGCAGTATCTTTTTGGGCTATGATGGGAAAGTTGCTTGCTTGTGTCACCCATATGATTTACGTACATGAATCGATCACAGTCTGCTCCTAAATAAGTTACCAGAACTTTTGTCATGCTATGACAAATCCTTGAGTGTTCATTACTTTGGGATAAAAGGAAGGGATGCTATTGTAAATATCGTAAATAGACTTATGCGACATCTGCCTGATGCCCAGTCATACATAACCATTCGATGTCGGTCAAGAGCAATCTACGTACAAAGTTGTACTGATCGCGTCAGAGGACAAAAATAGTTGCCCCATCGGCACGAGAACTCTTCCACATAAATGTCTTCTATCGCAAATTACCATATGTAGCAATTGACCTTATTGTATATTAAATATTTTCTTTAATCAAGCGCAGCAGTAAGAATTAATCAATTAAAAGACGAGAGCTCGTTTGCCAAATTAAAGTATAGTTGCAAATTAAAAATCCATTTCGCCTGGCTTGCTGCTTCTGTGTCTGTCCATTTGCTATTTCTCTGCTGCAGCCTCGGGGAACAATGAAATTGAAGTGCCCCAAGCAACTATGATGTAGAATTGTGTGGGTGTGTGCTGGTGGAAGCCTGAGAGGCATTTGGCTAATGAATAACAGCCTCTGACTGAGGCGAAGATTCCGGGAAAAGTGATCGGCAGCAGGGCGTTGCATGCAGCAGCAGCAACAGCAGCAGCAGCAACAGCAGCAGCAGCTATGCCACGCTTGTTTTGTAATTAACAACAAACGTCTGGCCAGCCGGCAGCCAACATAAAACAGCAGCCAAACAGCAAATGTTACAAAATAACCATAAAATTGTGGGGAAAGTACATACATAAGTGCCACAGACAGGAGAGAGAACCGAACAGTCCATACCCTCAAAGTAAATCCTGTCTATAAACCAGCCTAATCTACGACTGAATGAGAAGACTCCCCAAAGAGTCGTTTGCTGCTGTGAAATGTTAATGATCAAAGGCAGCACTCGAGTCGCGACTGGAGAGAACTGAATGCGGAACCATCAGATGCTGACCACAGACCACAGACCACAAGCCACACTGTCTCTATCTATCCATGTTTGGTATCTATATCCAGATCTATATCGCATTGTATCATCTTAATAATTAACGCATTTGTAGCCGCCCCACAGCACGCGCAGCCATAAACTTTTGTTTAGCAGTAAATGCCAAAATAACATAGAAACTCGCACTAGCATACCATGAACATATTCGGATCCACTAGTATTGAGACTGTTGCATATGCAATTTCGTTTGCCGAGATCCAAATCCAAAAGGTTTGATAGGCAAATGGCCTCCAAGCAACTTGAAGATCCCAGCAACAAAAAGGAAAGAGGTCTCAGAGGCCTCAGCTGTGAAGGGCCATAGACTATGGATCAGTATATTCGCATCTCTAGATTTCGGATGTCAGACCCACTGTCTGTTTACCCGTCCGTGCGTCCAACACGCGCAGGCCTCTTAGTCAATTCCGCGCGTTCATCTACATTTGGGATAGATTGTTCGTGTGTGTGTATGTGTGTGTGTGTGTGTGTGCATGGGTGTGAGTTTTTGTTGCTGTTGTTATGTGCGTGAGTTGTTCCATAGCTTCAGCGCGTTTTCTCTATGTGTTTGGATTCTTTTTTGTCTTTATTTTTTATTTCTCTTTTGCTCACCCACACACTTGATTGCAAAATATTGATCCTGATTGAATGATGGAAAGCTTGCAAGAGCCCAAAGCAGCAATTCAGACCATCCAAAGGCCACTGAAATTATTAAGAGCTCAGGTTTTTAAGTTCCCCTGACAGCTGCTCAATCAAATCGAATCAAATATTTGGGCTAACTAAACAGAAACCTTTTTTAACCGTCCTCCGCCTCCTCCTCCTCCTCCTCCTCCACCGTTGCCATGGACATGATCGGATCGAGTTGGGTGCCTCAGATGGGTGATGTCTAAATTCTGGAAATTCGCAAAAATCAAACTCAATTACGTGCGCTGTCAATCAGCGGCAGGAATCGAAATCGAAAACGAAAACGAAAACGAAAACGAGAGAGACATGCGTAAGAAGCGTTTGCTCTACTCCCAGACTGTAGTTCCGTGGCGTATCTCGAAGATACATTTCACTTAACTCATCCATTCAACTACAGCAGCTCCAAGCAGTCCCCTTTCCGGCCAGTCACTATGACAGCAGACACACAGATGGTGATCTAAATGGGAATGCGCTGGGGTCGGCAGCCGGGAGCTGGGAGGTGGGAACTGGGAGCTGGGCGACGTGCGTTGACCCTGAGACAAGCCAAGCATCGCCCACGCAATGCGCAAAATATAAACTAATATAGTGGGTTATATATAGAATTATATACACACACATACAAATGCGCTTGTACATATATATATATGTATGTCGATTCCTTGAGATTGAACCGTTCGCAAATATCGCTTCGTTCGCTTGCAAATATTTATGAGTATCATATGGACAGTACTTGAACTTAGATGGAATGGAAAACATTTTGGAATATGAAAGTACAATGGGAAGTACCGCTATATCGTAAAAGATGAGTGCCCGCTGAAAGGCAAGATCATAAAAATCGACTAGAATTCAACTAGATATTTCAATATATTTTTGGTGATCTGCAGAAAGACATTAGACAGCTGCAGATGGTGCCCCCGTCCAGAAATTCCCCATGTGCAGCTCTTGGACATGCATACAATGTAGCTCTCAGCTTTCTTGTAATGGAACCCAATCGCACTCTCCTGGCGGTGGCCAAAGACTTCAATTGAAAATCGTACGAGCTCTTTTTTGAAATCATTCAATGGATATGAATCGGTTTTATATAAAGCATTAAACTCGATACTGGGGAGCGTGAAGAGCACATCGGAAAAATGAAAGAATGAAACGTATATTTCTTTCTGTATAATTCGTTGGCTCATTGATTCCGAAAAGGTAATTGAATGCAGCGATTACAATGTGAATATTCATACATATGTACACATCTGCATGTGTATGTGCGATATTTGCTTATGTGCAATACCAGGGGCGTATTAGAAGTGCAAAAAAGAACTGTCCGAAATGCAGACAAATTAACATAATGCCGCTCAACTTGATCCGAAATTATGTCGACTGTGCGCCGCGTCAGCAGCTCTCTCCAATTGCAAAAGAGAACGAGCACTGACATGAGCGGCTTATGGCTTATGGACTGCTGCTAAGCCTAAGCTTTTGTTTACGCCTCTGGAAATGGGGGCTCATTCCGTAGAATTGCACATGCCACAGAACATGCAACAAGCACATAGAGAGCACGGCAGTGGTTGCGGCATGGCACTTGGCTCAGCTCTGGCACAGCTGTTGCACCAGTCACCTTTGCAGCTGCCATGACAAGCTCATTTGCATGGAGCAGTTCTTCTTCATCGACAAGACACCACACACATGTGGCATGAAGCAGGAGTTCACCAGCAGCAGCAGCAGCTGGAGTCGCCTTGAACTATTGACATTATTGTGGCGCGTTTTAATTACGGCTGTGTAGTATGGAAATACCGAATGACGCTGTTGACCAGCTCAACTCCAGCAGTTGCATAATGCTGGAAGGGAGTGG